CCCAGCCTGCTCAGATGGTCCCTGGGTCAGCTACACCAGCTGCTGCAGAAGTCATGGCAGAGGTCACAGAAAGTCACAAAGTCCATGACTTCTGTGACCTCCTTGACAGATTCACAACCTTAATTATGCATCATACTATGTTTCCATCCCTACTCCATCCCTACTCAGGTGTTTCCTTAACTGTATATTACTTATTAATGGATTGAAGGTATTTTGGTAACACATCTTTTTAGAACATAAACTTCTTAGCATAGGCATAATGTGCTTCAGGTAGTTGGACCATGAGATTCCCCAGTGTTGTCTTGGAGTGCAATGTGAAAGCTGGCCATCTGTGTTAACATACACAGTCGTTTATTCTCTGCTGTCATATAGACACATATGATAATGTTAACACTCTTTTAATTACTGAGTCAGGGTCATTTTTAATCTTTGAAATGCATAACATCATTTAATCCTTTTTAAATGTTATACATATCTTTGTCTGGTTGATTGCATATGGAAACAGAATAAACAGTGGCTTGCTGGGTGGGCTGTTGCTCTGTGAGGCTATTGAAATTGCAAGGAGGCTGTGCCTGCCCAACAAGTGCTCACAGTGTCATGTCACGTAAGCGATCCTGTCTGGCGGTCTCCTGCCGGCAGTAGGCAATAAAACACACCTTTGTTGATTATGAAGTCTCTGACACTATTAACCATCAAATGTGATGAAATGCTACAGCCCTAAGGGTCAAAGGGAAGGAACAAGATGGCTCTTTAGTAGCTGTCCTTGTTTCTGGAGAAAAGAATTTATAGTATGGTTATGGACACTGTTAGTCTTCACACACAGGATTCTCTTGCCTTTGTTCTGGGCCGTCAGGCTACTGAGGGAAAACCATTGAAGGTATACATCATATTCTTGTCACAGCTCCTTGCCTCTTTTTAGATTGGTTCAGTATGGACATTTTTTGGGCTACTGCACTGTCTAGATGGCTTTATTACTTGGAGAGACATCTGGTTGAAACTGAACCCAGTAAAGGTCAAGATCATGCTTGTGGGTGGGGAAAAGCATCTTGAGGAAAACGTTGGCAGTTTTTTGTATGCCCATTCCAGGGAGAATGGCATCACTAGTGAGATGGGTGTAGAATCTGGAAGTCATCACTGGCTGCTTGTTCAGCTGTTACAATAGTGACTGAGAGTGGCTATTGTCATCTCTAGGCTGTGGGGACTAGGTCCATCTGTTTACTGGCCTCCCCGTGACCACGTAAACTTTTGTCACATCCAGGCTAGGTGACAATAATGCATTCCTAACTGGGCATCCTTTGAAATGGATTTGGAGGCTGCAGTCACTGCAAATGGTTCATATACATTCAGACAGGAGTGAGGAATTCAGTTATACCCATCCTCTGTGAAGCATGCTGGTTGCTAATACACAAAAGAATATAACTGAAGATATCAAAGTTGGTATGGGATGTCTGATCATAATCTGCACCCTCAGAACAGGGTTGATCACTTGTCCTCTTACATCCCAGCCTTTTCATTACAGTTAACCAGGGTGATTGTGGTCTTGGTCTTTTTATTAAAAATTAATGGACTGTTGCTAAATCTTTGGCTTTGAAAATCTCAGCTAGTGTCCCAAAGAGGCCCACCACAGTCTCTTGTTGGCTAACATTTTAAAAGACATTGTAAATCCATGTTGGAGTGGGGATTTTTTTTTCTGGGCATGACTGCGTTTGCCCTGGTGATAGATTTGTTTGGTATTATTTGGGCTATGTATATATGTTTAGCTTTTCTTTCAACTGTGTAAGTGTTTAGTCTGGTATGCTGTATAGTGCTTAAGAACCTTACAAAAGACATCCCATAGATTGATTTAAACAAACTAAGATGCAGTATCTATGTATCTGTTAGAGCAGAAAAAGAACAAATGTTCACGTTTACTGAGGCAAAAGCAGCTTCAGATAAACATAGTGTTGCAGTAATGAGCAGAACCTGCTCCACCCCATTCCCAGTCCTAGTAAAAACATACTGGTTATTGCATTGCATTTGTCTAACAGTGTTTGTTGCTGTTATTTTTTTCAGGGTGCAAGTGCTTACATTCTAAACTATTTTCTGTACATTATGTGGGCTCTATCTTTTGCTTTCCTGGCAGTCTCCCTGGTCAGAGTGTTTGCTCCTTACGCCTGTGGTTCTGGGATTCCAGAGGTGAGTTTCTTCCAGATGGATGCATATTTAAAAACTGAAAAATCATTCATGTTCCAGACCGGTGCAATACAGCTATGCCTTTGGCATAGGAACAAGCAGAAGCAAGGCATGTGAATTTTTTATTCCACTTGACATGTCTTTATTTTATGCCTTTTGCCTAAACTGTGTTCATGTTACCCATCTAAATTCTTCATATTAGGCTCCTCTCAAATGATTGGGGAATGGCTGTTGTCTTGGCCAACAAGCCAAGGGTTGAATTGGACACTCCCATAGCTAAAAACATGAGCTGCTACACCTTGAGCTAAAGGCTCCCTAGCTGGGTTGTAACAATTCGTATCATCGGTGGATTTGACATTGGGGGACCATAGTGCATATTCACCAGTGGGTTACACATAAATATTTGCCTGTAAGTGCAGCAGATGCAATTACTTGTTAAGGGAGAAGATAAAAGTATAAGTGGGGGAGGGAGGAGGAGGGAGAAGAGGAGATAGGAAGATTGAAGACCAAGCGTTCCAAAGTAACTAGTAATTTTGAGTTCCACAATTTTTGGGTGCCTACCATTGGAATTCCTTTATCTGATTTTTCTGAAACTCAGGTGAGTCAAGTTGGGTGTTAACCTCTTCTAAAATATCATTATAGAACAGTTGTCTTAATCTTTTGCTCAGTGCCTCATTGGAGTCTTTCAAGTGATGATTTGTCTACTATAGCTGTTAAGTTGGTTTTGCAAAATCAAAGTTGCAGTAGTTTATTATTAACCTATTCTTCCTGTCTTCCAGATAAAAACCATCCTGAGTGGTTTCATTATTAGGGGCTACCTGGGGAAGTGGACACTCTTAATCAAAACTGTCACCTTAGTGCTGGTGGTGTCTTCGGGCCTCAGCCTCGGCAAAGAAGGTCCTTTAGTGCATGTGGCTTGCTGCTGTGGTAACTTCTTCAGCAGCCTCTTCTCAAAGTACAGCAAAAATGAAGGGAAGAGGAGAGAGGTGAGCTTGGACTCAGATTGTCATTTCTTTCTCCTTAAATAATGTCCACAACTCCAAGGACTCATGCCTTGCATACAACTCTTTGTATTGCAGGTGCTTTCAGCTGCAGCGGCTGCAGGAGTCTCTGTTGCTTTTGGTGCACCAATTGGTGGTGTACTTTTTAGCCTGGAAGAGGTAAGAGCTACCAATGAATCAGCTAAGTTTCAATTTCATGGTATGTGTTTGCAGTATTTGTTTCCATCAAATATTTCCAGGAAAAATATTTCTCCTTGATTCCTTCCTTAAGAATCCTTTTTATTTTCCCAATATTTTTATTTGTAGTCTTTGCAATATGGAAGCAAATATAATCTGTAATAATTGCCAATAAGAAGTGATCCTGTAGATTAGCATAATGTTACCAGCAGAGGAATAATAGACTCTTGAGATAACCAAAGGTATGGTTAATGCTGTGTGTGTTCAGTATTTGACTATGTACAAAATAGGGTTGCCAGGTGTCCGGTTTTGAACTGGACAGTCCAGTATTTGAGCTTTCTGTTCGGGAAACAAATTAAGAAAATATAAATGAGAAAATATAAATGTCTGGTATTTTCTAAATAAGATGTAATGTAGATTGTGATGTAATGTCAAGTGTGTCTGGTGTTTTTGTTGAAACCATCTGGCAACCCTAATACAAAAAGGTGTATTCCTTGAGCAGTCTAACAAAAGATTACAGAAACTTGCTACAGCACGTCTAGCAATTGTATCTCCAGGTTATCCATTTAAAAAAATCACAGTTCAACTGCTTGCCATTCATTTTCAATTGTTTGCAATTTCCTCTTCAAGTATGAAAATGCCTTTCCTTACTAACATATGTGACCACATTCTGGTAAAGTCATACACACCCCAGACAGAAGGCAGCAGGGCCTGTGGGGCAACAAAAAAGAGAGTAACTGAATCAAACACCTTACCTTCTACTCAGTTAAGCATTCACTGTCTCTGTTTGTTTTAGGTTAGTTATTACTTTCCCCTGAAAACCCTCTGGAGATCATTTTTTGCTGCTCTTGTGGCTGCCTTTACTCTGAGGTCCATCAATCCATTTGGAAACAGCCGACTGGTTCTTTTTTATGTGGAATACCACACCCCTTGGTATATGGCTGAACTTTTCCCATTCATTCTGCTTGGAGTCTTCGGAGGTCTGTGGGGGACGCTTTTTATCCGTTGCAACATTGCATGGTGCAGGAGGCGTAAAACAACCAGACTTGGGAAGTATCCAGTCCTAGAGGTCATTGTGGTAACTGCTATCACTGCCATCATTGCCTATCCTAATCCATACACCCGGAGGAGCACCAGTGAGCTAATCTCTGAGCTTTTCAATGACTGCGGCGCTCTGGAGTCCTCACAACTCTGCGACTATATCAATGACCCAAATATGACAAGGCCAGTAGATGACATTCCTGACAGACCTGCTGGCTTTGGTGTCTACACTGCAATGTGGCAGCTGGCCCTGGCTCTGATTTTTAAAATTATCATCACGATATTTACTTTTGGCATGAAGGTAAGTTGGGGGATGGGTAATGCTCATTGCTGAAATCCATATTGCGTGTTGAAGCTAGGCTTTTGCATGACAAAACCTGGTTACTGTTAGAGCTTAGAGTTGTCATGTTCAGATTACATACATCTGGCATAATGCCAGGGAAGTGTATGAAAGTGTGTGAATTCTAAAGCACACTGCATTAGAAAATTAAGGATTAATTAGGATTTCACACTGAAACTGATATATCTGAAGACTTGAAAATTGGCAAGTGTTTCCCAGATACTCATAGTGTCAGAGATGAATTGTAAGATGCTACGACCATTTCAAATCTTTCATTCAGCTTTTGTATTTTGCTGTAATATACAGAGTAATTCATTTTATATATAGCATAGCATCCATTTTACTATGTCTTGCTTCCCCTGCTTCCCATCAACTTCCATCAGATACAAAGAAAACGGTATGGGATTCAGACCATCAACTTCCATCAGATACAAAGAAAACGGTATTGGATTCAGACCACTTGTTGTATCTTCTAGATTTTTTTTTTTTATCTTCCTGGTTGGAAAAAAATGCACAGTTGAGAATTTAAATTCACTGTTGTCAGTACGTTAATTCAACATGATTCCCATTTCTGCAGAAACTCCCTTTGAAATATGGAGTATTTTATGTTGCTGCATATGTTGTTGAAGTCATGTTTCAATACAGTGCACTGTAGCCAAGTTGCACTGATTGTGGGAAATTGACTATTTAGTACATTTAAAAGCTCACAAGTTTATACATATGTGCAACATTTTGAATAAAAACTCAGCTGCAATATTACATCAGTGCAGATGGTATTGGTTTAGTTAATTTTTTTCCCTTGTATTTCTCAAGTTTTGCTTTTTAGAAAGAAAGGTAGAATAGAATTCAATACATCAGACCAAATAGTTAAAAGAAAAAAGGTGCTATTAGAAGGTGAACCTACAACAATCATGGGTTATTGGTTTAATAACGTCTCCCCCACCAAACGAACAGGGTTTTTGGAATCCAGATTCCATTTTATCCAAGCCAAAGTTACAGAAAGTACAAAGAGGCAAGTTGTAGCTGTATGGTTGTTGATGGGGTTAATTTCTATATGTACATTTGTCTGTACAAAGTTTTATCCAAGCCAAAATTACAGAAAGTACAAAGAGGCAAGTTGTAGCTATATGGTTGTTGATGGGGTTAATTTCTAAATGTACAGTTGTCTGTACAAACAAGTATATAACTTGATGGAACTGGGGGATGATTTGAAATAGAATAGTGTCAGGGCTGTTCCCCACTCTGGCACTCCAAGTGCAAAAGGTGGGGGCCCACAAAAGACCTTAAATACCTTGCCTTTATAGGCTCTGCTTGCAAAAACTCCCCAAAGTAACAGATTCACTGATTTTGGGAGGTAGCTGCCACCCACCATCAAGTGATTTGATCCCTCTCAAAAAAGGAGGAAATATTTTAAATTCTCCCCAAGGGGACCCCAAGCTCTTTTGCCACAAGAGAGCTTAAAAAAGAAACAGAGAAGAACACAAGAAACAAACTCTCTCTTTTTGCCCCGCCACCCCCACTAACATGATTCAGTTCTGCGGTGATCTGGAAGCCTATTCTTTCGAGAAATATCCTGTATCAGAGGGGTAGCCGTGTTAGTCTGAATCTGCAGAAGCGATGAGGAGTCCTGTGGCACCTTATAGACTAACTGAAGTGTAGGAGCATAAGCTTTCGTGGGCAAAGACCCACTTCGTCAGATGCATGTAGTGTAAATTTCCAGAGGCAGGGATAAATATTCAGGCCAGGATCAGGCTGGAGATGACCAGGTGGATCCAATCAAGGAGGATGAGGCTCACTTCTAGCAGCTGATCTGGAGGTGTGAATTCCAAGAGAGCAGAAGCTGCTTTTGTAGTTAGCAAGCCATTCACAGTCTTTGTTTAATCCAGAGTTGATTGTGTCAAACTTAAAGATGAACTGTAGCTCAGCAGTTTCTCTTTGAAGTCTGGTCCTGAAGTTTTTTTGCTGCAGGATGGCTACCTTTAGATCTGCAATTGTGTGTCCAGGAAGATTGAAGTGTTCCCCTACAGGTTTTTGTATGTTGCCATTCCTAATATCAGATTTGTGTCCATTGATTCTTTTACGTAGGGACTGTCCAGTTTGGCCGATGTATATAGCAGTGGGGCATTGTTGGCACATGATGGCATATATTACATTGGTAGATGTGCAGGAGAATGTACCAGTGACAGTATGGCTGATCTGGTTAGGTCCTGTGATGGTGTTGCTGGTGTATATATGCTGCTATATACATCGGCCAAACTGGACAGTCCCTACGTAAAAGAATCAATGGACACAAATCTGATATTCCTGATGATGCCACAGCACAACTGGTGGCTGAACTCTGTGAATTTATCCTCACACACAACTATTTCAGATTTGGTGACAACATATACCTCCAGACCAGTGGCACTGCTATGGGCACCCGCATGGCCCCACAATATGCCACATTTTTATGGCTGACCCGGAACAACGCTTCCTCAGCTCTCGTCCACTTACACCCCTTCTCTACCTACGCTATATTGATGACATCTTCATCATCTGGACCCATGGGAAGGCGACTCTGGAAGAATTTTACCATGATTTCAACAGCTTCCATCCCACCATCAACCTCAGCATGGACCAATCTACACGGGAGGTCCATTTCCTGGATACCACGATACAAATAAGTGACGGTCATATCAATACCACCCAATACTGAAAACCTACCGACCGCTATACTTACCTGCATGCCTCCAGTTTCCATCCCGGACACACCACGCGATCCATTGTTTACAGCCAAGCACTGTAAACAATCATATGCTCCAACCCCTCAGTTAGAGACCTTCACCTACAAGATCTTCAACAAGCATTCTGTAAACTGCGATACCCACACGAGGAAGCGAGGAGACAGATCGACAGAGCCAGACGTGTACCCAGAAGCCTCCTGCTACGGGACAAGCCCAAGAAAGAAACCAACAGAACACCACTGGCCATCACCTACAGTCCCCAGCTAAAACCTCTCCAACGCATCATTAGTGATCTTCAACCCATCCCTCGCTTTCACAGGCCTCGGGAGGTAGGCCGGTCCTTGCCCACAGACAACCCGCCAACCTGAAGCATATTCTCACCAGCAACTACACACCGCACCATAATAACTCGAACTCAGGAACCAATCCTTGCAACAAACCTCGGTGCCAACTCTGCCCACATATATACACCAGCAACACCATCACAGGACCTAACCAGATCAGCCCTACTGTCACTGGTTCATTCTCCTGCACATCTACCAACGTAATATATGCCATCATGTGCCAACAATGCCCCACTGCTATATACATCGGCCAAACAGGACAGTCCCTACGTAAAAGAATCAATGGACACAAATCTGATATTAGGAATGGCAACATACAAAAACCTGTAGGGGAACACTTCAATCTTCCTGGACACACAATTGCAGATCTAAAAGTAGCCATCCTGCAGCAAAAAAACTTCAGGACCAGACTTCAAAGAGAAACTGCTGAGCTACAGTTCATCTTTAAGTTTGACACAATCAACTCTGGATTAAACAAAGACTGCACCTCCAGATCAGCTGCTAGAATTGGGCCTCATCCTCCTTGATTGGATCCACCTCGTCATCTCCAGCCTGATCCTGGCCTGCATATTTATACCTGCCTCTGGAAATTTCCACTACATGCATCTGACGAAGTGGGTCTTTGCCCACGAAAGCTTATGCTTCTACACTTCAGTTAGTCTATAAGGTGCCACAGGACTCCTTGTCGCTTTTGAAGAAACAAACTGTGTTCCTGATAGCTAACCTGTCAGGCTAGGCAGGCACACACACAGACCTCCTGTTACCTTCCAGGACACAAGAATCAAATCATAACCTTAAAAAAGGTGATTTTATTAACAAAACAAAGAGGAATACTTGATAAAACATATTTGGAAGCTAAGTGTTGCAGAACAAATTAAAACAGAGAAAAAATTGTATCTTTGTCACAGCTCAGGTATGGTGAATGGGGGAGGAAAGGCACATGGAATTCACAGAGAACTTTAACCAAACAGCCAAACCAAAGAAAAATACCCTGATCATGACTAAATATACATTTTCCCTTTATTTATTCACAAATCCTTCATGATCCAGTCCACTTCCATGCCCCGAATTCTTTGCAGGCATGGTAGTCCTGTCTGGGTTTAAATCATTGTCTTTCTCCCAGCTCCTGGCTTAAAGCTTCACAAAGAGAAAATGCAGCAGGTATATATTTACAATTTAAATGTCAACACTGTATCCCATTGGTGATTCTGTCTCCCTGCCAACAACACCCTTAGCTACCTGAGTTCAACCCTTTAGTCACCAAGTGTGGGCCAGCACTCCTCCTCTCCACAGATAGTGATGCCTTTCAGTGTTAAAGTCCCAAAGTAGGATGTGGCTGAGGTTGATCTTAGCACAAAGTTATCAGTGTTAAAGTCCCAAAGTAGGATGTGGCCGAGGTTGATCTTAGCACAAAGTTATCGTTGTGGCTGTAATTTTTGTTGTGAGAATGAGGCGGTGGTGCAATGAAGTTTGAGAACACCTGGCATGGAGAGAGGATTTCAGCCTCCAAGCTTCAGCGCTTTTCTTCGGCTCTTACTTCATGTTCAGAATTTTTAAGTGGCTGACAAACAAGTCTTCCCCACCAATAACTCTCCCTCCTGCTTGAAAGACATGCTTGATATTTTACAGAAAAATTACTTAACCAACCTTGAGTGATGGATTCTCTCCTTTTCTGTAGTATTGTTTAGTGGGTTGTGACTTGATGTACACCAGACAGCAAGGCAATGGCTTGTAATGCTTACTGGAAGATATATAGCAAGTTGAGATGAAGGAATGAGCTACCTCATTTCACCTATGAGCATCAGATTCCTCATTTCAATTTTATACTGTTTGATGTTTAATTTAAAATCCAATCTTGATTACACTGACATTTAATAAAGTAAATAAAGGTAAACAGTAGCAATGCCCATGTTGTAGAGGTTGATGTCTAGATGTTATTTTCAGTTAAGCCTCTACTTTTCAAACTTATGGCACACACAAAAGCTTCACCTTCAGAACAGGCGACATTAAAAATCATGCAGTGTGAGAATTTTTAATTAAAGAAAGATTGCTCATATTAATATTGAGAAATAAAGTTGTCATGAATTCAGAAACTCTAACTAGGTCAAATAGATAAGCATGTATTAAAATTATATACACTTTTTAAATACCTATATAATTAGAAACAATGAGCAGTCCTGTGGCACCTTAGAGACTAACAAGTTTATTATGTCTTGAGCATTCATAGATAAAATCCTCTTCATCAGATGAGTTGGAGTTGTAATACAGAATCCAGGATGCATATAACAGCAAAAGCAGTTACCTGTCAATTATAGAACCATTATTAATGAAGCTAATTAAGTCAGGCAGGATGTGCCTCATTCATAGCAGTTGATGTGAATGTTCAGGAAAGTTAAAATGTTCCTCTACAGGTGTGTTACCATGCCTGATGTCTGATTTATGTCCATTAGTCCTTTGTCACAGAGACTGTCCGGTTTGGCCAATATACACAGCAGATGGGCATTGCTGGCACTTGATGGCATACATCACATTTGTGGATGTGCAAGGTGTATTAGCCCCTGAAGTTGTGTCTTATGGTTAAGTCCTGTGATGATGTTGCTTATATAGACATGTGGACAGAGTTGGCAACAGGTTTGTTGCAGAGGTAGGTTCCTGGATGAGTGTACCTGTGGTGTGGTGTGTGGCTGCCGGTAAGTAAGTATTTGCTTTAGGTTGGGGGGGCTGCCTGCAGGCAAGATTTGGCCTGTTTGCCAAGGTCTGAGACTGAGGAGTCATTTTCCAGGATAGGCTGTAGATTGTCAAAGATCTACAGCCACACACCACACATACACTCATCCAGGAAACTACCCCTAAAACAAACCTCCAATAAGGGATATTAATGCTCTAGTGTCATATGTCTTAAATACATAACTGAGACCTTTTGGTCTAAACTCTCACTTCTTTGTATTTCATTTCAGATCCCTTCAGGCCTTTTTATTCCTAGCATGGCTGTGGGAGCCATGGCTGGTAGAATGGTTGGAATTGGAGTGGAGCAGCTGGCCTACCATCATCATGACTGGATCATCTTCAGGAACTGGTGCAGACCAGGGTGTTACCCCAGGGCTTTATGCTATGGTGGGAGCTGCAGCATGTCTAGGTACTGTGTGTGTGTGTGTGTGTGTGTGTGTGTGTGTGTGTGTGTGTGCGCGCGCGCATACATGCACATGCTACAAGATGATTTCCAGATGTACTGTGGGTTTGTTAAATGGTTAAAAGAATTTCATGCTCATGGAAGCATGCAAAATTGCCACTCTGACAATCCTGGAAACAAATTATATGACCAAGCCACAGCACAGGCAGTAGCACTGAACTCTTCCTTCCATTGCTCCTATCAATATTCTTTAAACATAGTTTAGGGAAGAGGGGGTTGTCACTGCCCACTTAAACTTAGTCCTCTCTCTTGGATCAGCCAAAAGGGACATCAGTTGGAAACAATGGGTGGGTGGGAAGACAGTTATAAAAAAAAAAGATGTTTTTATACGAAGTGGAGGAAAAGGGAATCCCTCCCAAGAGGCTTGCTGATTTTTGATGGCTGTGATTTCCCCTGTATTGAACTGGAATTACTCACTGATATAAAATATTCCACTATTCAGCCAAGGGAAACAATCATTGGTCACTACCAATTTTGCCCAATTTGAAATCATTGCTCTAGAACTGAAAGGTCTGTAACCCATTACCAATCACACAGGCTATATTCAGTCTTTCATCTCGGATTATAGGTCAAAGCCTGGTTCCTTTGAATTCAAGGAGAATTTTGCTATTGACTTCAATTGGACTGCCACTCAGTCCTAAATGCTAATTGGTAAAGCAAGACCATGGATATAAACTAAATCTCATATATCCAATGTCTAATTGTAGATGGAAAGGAAATGTGAAAATATCAACCCCATTTTTTACCTGACCTCTATCTTACATAATTTCCACTGCCACTTGGTATTTGGACTATGCAGTAACGCTCGGATATATATCACAGAGTTAAGCCTTGTCTACAACAAAACCTTCTTGTGCAGCTATATCCCGTTCAAGAAAAGAGTGCTTTTGCTGATACAGCTTATGCTAGTACTGTGAACAAAACAAGCTATTTGGCAAAAAGACTCCCTTTCCAGTTAAATTATCTGTCTCACTAGGGTTTTTCCTGGCATGGATATGTCATTTAGGGCAGTGGTTCTTACACTTCAGTCTGATTCACCGCTCGAGCTCAGACCACCCCCACTTCCACCCTCTAGTCCCACAGCAGGGAGCCCACACTGGTGCTTCAGCATTATGCTCTCTTACCCCTCCTCCCTGACCTCCCACAAGGCTGGAGCACCAGTGCTGGCTTCCCTGGGGAGATGGGAGGGATATAGGGAAAAAGTCCTGAGCCTCCCCGCCAGGTTTGGCTCATGGGGAAGAAGCAGAGCCAGAAGTCGCTTTCCGCACTGCCACTCTCCCTCGCTCTCCCCTGTCTTGGGAAACAGCAGCACATGGACGCGCTTCCTGGAAGCTTTCCCCTACTGCTCCCATTGGCCAGAATTGCAGCCAGTGGGAGCCATGGGAGGCTGTGCCTGTGACACAATGCCTGGGAATGGCATGGACCACAAAAGAAAGTAAGTGTCCCCCATTCCTCTCAGGTTCAGATCCTGCATCCCTACCAACCACCTCCTGCTGAGACCCCACACTCGGCCCGCTCCTGCACCTTCCCTCTCCCAGCCAGACATCCTACCCCCAGCCTGCTCCTGTACCCTCCCCCCAGCCAGACATTCTACCCCCAGCCTGCTCCTATACCCTGTCCCTGGTCAGACACCCTTCCCCTAGGCCACTCCTGCACCCTTCTTCCTGGCCAGATACCCTACCCTCACCCTGTTCCTGAACCCACCCTTTCTTCTGCACATTGAACCCCTCATTTTTGTCCCTACCCCAGAGCCTAGGAGGGTCCACAAAATCATCTTACCCCCATAAATCCGGCCCATGGGAAGCCCTGAACTTCAGTCCTCCCTGTCCTTCCCCCTTGCCTCGTGCAGCTGGAGCACCAGAAGAGTGAGGTATCTCAGTTGGGGGACCACATCAGTGAGGGTTGGAGGGTTTTGGAGGGGTGTTTTTGCTTCTCATTTGTGTGGTCCCCAGCTGATTTTTCTGTGGGTCAGTGGTTCTCAATCCAAAAAAGGTTCCCCACCTCTGCTATAAATAAAGAAGACACAGGAACCTTTTTGTGTTGGACATATATTAATATTTTACTTTATTTAAAATGAAGTTTGAAAAATTAACATGAGAAAGTTAAAGCACTTAGTCTGTTAAAATAATTTAATATTTCCTTTCTTACTAGTTAAATTAAACTGTGCTCCCTAGCTGCAGCACTAGCAAAGTGGTTTGGGCATAATTATGTTCTTAATGGCGAGTTTCCATTAGGAACTGGTGATCTATGGAAAAGTTTGCACAGAGCCAGGTGGGCCACGGGCCAAAAAGTTTGAGAACCACTTATTTAGGGCATGATTTTTCACACCCCCAACAAACATACCTATGCCAGCAAATTTTAAGTGTAGTCCAGACCTTAGTGTAATTCAGTAGGCTTCCAATGAAAGCTGTACTCCGGGAATCACTAGCAGATAAGTAGGATCATTTCTGATGCCGGTCATGGTAGGAACCTAATGTCAGAAACAGTTGTCCTTTAATATTTTTTCTTCAGCATTTCAAAGCAGAGTGTATCAGTGTAGACATTTCAATTTCAATTCCATATTACAGAAAAGTTATTTATTGTGCATCCATTACCAGGCAATCATATTCTGAGTTTACATGTCACAAATGGCTATGTAATAATTGTAACTACATAGTGTTACTCATGCTGTTATATAAAAAACCCCAACTTTTAATAACCTATTTTCCTATTTCTCTAATCTGAACAATGGCACTGTATTTTGAGATCTAAGAATATCAAATTATCACAGTTATCTTTCTGACACAGGAGAAACACACACAGTTGTTATGAAGTGATTATGTGATTCTTTATATCCCACAAGACAAACTTCAGCAGTAAACAGTTTGCTTATAAAATGACACAAAGAAACCACACTAGAGTGTGCTGATTCTAGAACTGATCTATATACTGAGGGCATGACAGCAAAGCTACAAAAACACATTTCATGGGAGCTGCTTACGATATGACAAGCAATTTACAGAGCCTCAGCAAGGAGTATGCTATGCTTAACACAGTTCACTTAATGTTTTCTTTTCTTGGAGTGTAATCTTTAATCAAGTATGTGTTCAAGTTAAACCTTCAACATGCTCATAAATAAAGAAGTCAGTAATGAGATTAAATGTCTGCAGTAGTTATGCCTGCACTTGAGCACTGATTTTTTCCCCCAAATATGGGCCGAGTAGTTTAGATTGATCCCAGTTGAGGTTTGAGATGTCATGTATCAAGTATAGTTCAGATGTGTGTGTATTTTTGCTGTTGTGTCATGACTGATATGGAAAAAGTGAATAAGGAAAAGCTATTTACTAGTTCCCACAATATAAGAAAGAGGGGGTCACCAAATGAAATTAGTAGGCAGCAGATTTAAAACAAACAGAAGGACGATTTTTCTTCACTCAGCGCACAATGAACCTCTGAAACTCCTTGCCAGAGGACATGGTGAAGGCTAAGACTTGAACAGGGTTTAAAAAAAAAGCTAGATAGATTCATGGCAGTTACGTCCATCAATGGCTATTAGTGAGAATGGGTAGGAATGGTGTCCCTAACCTCTGTTTGTCTGGAAATGGGTGACAGGAGAGGGATCATGTGAGGATTACCTGTTATGTTCCCTCCCTCTGGAGCACCTGGCATTGGCCACTGTTGGCAGACAGGACACTGGGCTCGATAAACCATTGCTGAGACCCAGTATAACCATTCTTATGTTCTTATTTAAATAATTAAATCTTCAAGCATGCAGGTACTAGAGTCTGTAATTATCTGCTTTTCACATGCTAATAAACTTGGGTTGAGCATGTTATGGTAACCTTATCTATTCTAAATACAGCACATGAAATGGAAATCCGTATCTTCAGTAAACACACAGTGAGGGGTTTAAATAAGTCCATGTCTTTATGAATATAAGCTACTGGAAAGCCAGAAGAGTTGATAAATATATAGGTTTTTGTTGTTTTTTTAGGTGGAACCTGAATGATCTTTTTCTTGGCAGGTGGAGTTACCAGAATGACTGTCTCTCTGGTGGTTATTATGTTTGAGTTAACTGGAGGCTTGGAGTATATTGTACCTCTAATGGCTGCAGCTGTGACCAGCAAGTGGGTAGCAGATGCCTTTGGGAAAGAAGGGATCTATGAGGCACACATCCACTTGAATGGTTACCCCTTTCTGGATGTTAAGGACGAGTTCACACACCGAACCCTAGCAACAGATGTCATGAGACCTAGGCGTGGTGAGCCTCCACTCTCCGTCCTGACACAGGACAGTATGACAGTGGAAGATGTGGAGACATTAATCAAAGAGACCGATTACAATGGCTTTCCGGTGGTGGTTTCCAAAGACTCAGAGCGTCTCATTGGTTTTGCACAGAGACGGGAACTGATTCTTGCAATAAGTGAGTAAAGAGTACAATTTAGAGTGTAATGAGAATGTAACAAGTATTAGTGATACTGTAAAGCATGAAGGAATAAGAGCAAAACTGAATGTTTACTCCAAAAGATATGGAAGGCTGTTTCTACTGTTCTTTACAGGAATCATGCCAAGCAGCTTCCCTGTTATAACACATGCTGAAGTAAATCTGAGGGAATTCTGTTGAAGACATTGAAGTTGAACCAGTTTCAAACTGGTGAAAGCAAAGTCATACCATGGCCATCTCTAGTCTCCAAGTAAACTTCTTGTCCCTGTCAGCAGTAAAAGTCCAGAGATAGCTGTGAACCCCCGCTGCTACATAATGTGCAAAGTGCTGGTGCCACACTGTGTTACTTTCTGTTAGCACATCATAATTACGCTAATTTGCAAGCATTTAAATCTTGCAGACCTTGGTGGCCTGAAAGACCAGTGGTATAATTTTCATATGAGTACGGGAGAGGGAGCCCCTGAATTCTTTGGAAAATAAAATCTATAAGTAGAAAACAGCAGCTATTTTAGTGGCAGGCCTTCTTGCTTACAGGGACTTTTTCCACAAATCAAGAATTGCTCTGTAACCCAGGTACTCTTGCCTCATTTTAAGCTGTTCTACCTACAAAGACCTTCCCTAGCTCTACAAAGGGGAGTAAATGTTGCAATGCTGAGCTTTGTAATACAGATTGGACCTCCCTGGTCGAGCTCCCTTGGGACCTGTGAAGACCAGAACAGGGAATTTGCCGGATCAGGTGATGTCAGGGCTTTGGCTCTCCTGGGGCTCCCCTCTTGGCCACTGTCTGGCCAGTGCACTGCCCCCAGCCTGCAGGCAGGGCCTCTGGCCCCACTCTGGCAGCGGAGCTCTGCTTCCAGCCAGCAGGGATCCCTGCCCCCAAGTCACCAGCTGTACTCCAGCTTCTGGCCGGGCTCCCTGCCTCCAGGCCATGACTTGTTACTGTCAGCTTCTATTATTTACGTTTTTTATTTCCCCTGTCCAAAACTAATAATTGCCCCTGCCTTGATTTCCCCCCCTACCCTGAACCCCTCAACCCTTCCTTCATTCCAGCATCCTCCACTCCCTGCCCTGAGCCCCCCCAACCCTCCCAGTCCCTTGCCCTAACTCGTGCACCCCTCACCCCCTTCACTGAGCCCCTAACTCCAGCATCCCCAACCCCTGTACTGAGCCCCCACCAAACCCTGTGCCCTCAGCCCCCTGCCCTCACTCCAGCACCCTCCACCCCCTGCCCTAAGCCCTCCAACCCCTCCAGCCCCCTGTTGTCACTCAAACAGCCTTCACTCCCTTCCCTGAGACCCAACCCTTCAAGCCCCCTCCCCTGATTTCCAAACCTTGTGCTGTCAGCTCTCTCTCCTGCTCTCCCTCCAGCACCTTCCCCCCCCTGCCATGAGCCCCCCCCAACCCTCACATCACCCTGCCCTCACTCCTGCACCCCCACCTCCTTTTTATTCTAGAAAAAGACAGATAAACTGCCACAAGCTACCAACGAGCTCTACCTATTGTTTGGATCACTTTCCTTCTTTTATTAATAAAAACTTTTTTCCTTCGTTTTTGAAAAATATAATAATTTAACTAAAGCATGTATATTTTTCTTTTTTTTCCTACACAAACCCCAAAATCCATTACTTCACTTACAGACCTGAGCAACTATGGTATATATGTTAGTATTATATATATATATACACACACACACACACACAGGCAGTCCCCGGGTTACATGGATCCAACTTACATCAGATCCCTACTTACAAACGGGGTGAGGCAACCCCGCACTAGCTGCTTCTCCCCAGCAGACCAGGAAGACACGAAGCTAGCGCCCCCCCCCCCCCCCAGCAGACCAGGGAGACGCAGAGCGGCTTTTCTCATCAGACACCTCAGCTTGAGAATAAAGGACTGAGGGAAGTGAGGTGTGGGAGAATAAAACTGAGCTCTGGAGAAATGTTTGGCTAGAGTTTCCCCTACAATATGTACCAGTTCCGACTTACATACAAATTCAACTTAAAAACAAACCTACAGTCCCTATCTTGTACGTAACCCGGGGACTGCCTGTATATTAAGCACAAAGGATGGAAAAACTCTTTGTGCCTACTTGCAATTCACTTCATCATTGTAGGTTTAACAGAGTGCCAGAAACTCAAAAGTTATTGGATTCATGGAGCAGATGAGAGAAAAGAATTCTGGAGCCCATTTTCTAGCTATAATACATATTGCAGCCTACCTGTAAGCTACAAATATGTTTGTTTTTAGCTACATGATCAAGAGGTGGGTGGTTTAAATGGTTTGTGAACTCAGGCTAGTTTTGTGATGATCAAAAATAGGAAAGTGCAAACATCTAACAGAGAGGCACCTGGCTCATCTAACTGTAAAAGACAGCCAAGTAGTTTAAGGCAACCTGCTTTTTTGAATAGCCTCAACTCAATTGGCTCATCTCCACCTTTCTCTTCCTTACCAAAAACATCACAAGGAAGAAATCCTCAAAGTAATATTTTCAGTAATACGACAATTGTTCAATCTTACAGGATAATTAAGCCACCAACTGTGAAAGTGTCCCTTTAAATCTTAGTTTTAGCTTCAGTCTGTCACTTTCTCACACCCATACGAAAGATGCATCATACAGCAGTCTCAGAAGCAGCGGTGAAAGTAATTTAAAATGTCTTACAGGTACTGTCCTATTGCAACTCAGGTCCCTGGCAGCTCTTTAAATAGCTCCCTGCTGGCTTCTGCCACAGCTCAGCCGTCTCTTGCCGGAGCTGCTCATCAAAGCGCACCTGCTTACTTTCATCTCTGCTCAGAAGAGCAAAATACACCAATGTCTGAGAGTTGATGAAATATATAAAGGCCAAACATGGCACATTTTATAAACTATATGGAGTTTGCATTTTATGTCATTTTCTTTCTAACTATTCTTAAGGTGCTCCCCACCTCCAACTCCCTAAATTCCCTTGTGAGCCTTTGAAAATACAAATGGGATGCACTGGGCCTGAACCTTGTCTGTCTAATAATCTTGTGTTGTCATGCAGTAGGTGTACAGCGAGTTGCCATGCGGAATTGAGGGCCTGTTACACGAATGTAACACCAATATCAGTGACTAGAAAAGCTGTAAACGGACACAAACAAGGCCTGTTAATTTAAAAGTAGCGAGATCAGAAATCTTCTGAAATGGGTATAAAAAGAGAATTATACTTTTTGATGAGGCTAAATGGCAAGAAGGCTGGCTTGTTTGCAGGGAGGCATATAGATGTGTGGTCCTAACTCTAAGCTTTTTATTACTAGTGCAGAGTTAATTAAATATTTAAGCTGTTACACATTTTTCTACTGAAATACTTTCCTCTCAGAAAATGGTTTCTCTGAAATCCAGATTTTCCGTGTGTGATTTACAGGCAGTGCTAATTAAAATCTCTTTTAATTGGCCTGGAGCAGAATCAAAAATTAAAAATCCAAGAACATTTCTTCATAGATAAGCTTTCCTAAATCATTCAGGATTTGTTGGCTATACATGATTGTTATTCCTCCCATTTCTGCTGAGGGCGGGCAGTAGTGCGAAATAACAGCAGCTATTTGCCTGATTCTTGATCTCATATTACACCACTTTTGCAATAAACTGGCCCTCATGTTAATTTTTATAATATATGGTGATTTTATACAATTTAATGTGTGCCTTTTATAAATCAAAATCATAATTTAAATTGTATAGCTCAAAAGTATTCTATTCTATTCTATTCTATTCTATTCTATTCTATTCTATTCTATTCTATTCATGCCCTGCACCATGTTTAAGAGGAATCTTCCAGCAGGGCATTAGGTTATATCACAAGTATCATGTGTCTTGTTTCCTTATTTATCTCTTCCTTGGGATTTAACTTCAACCAGATGTTCTTTTGTCTATTAATTGATTTCTGCCAAGTACTGAGCTAATTTAATGACAGTATGAAGGATAGATAGAGCTGTGTGTCATTTGCATGCTGTTGGCATTTGAGCATGTGATGTCTTACCAATTTTTCTAGGTTGCATGTGAATAAGGCTGGTGAGAGAACTGAGCCTCCATATGAGGATTCTGATGGGGGAGAGCATTAGTTCCTTTCCCTGCATTTTGAGACGGTTCCAGTAGAGAGGACTCCAACCATATTAGTACAGTCCCCTGGACCTCCCTCAGGCATAACTCATTAGTTACATCTATGGCCACCTCCTAATACACATTTAAATACTACCGATCTTGTCCACAGTTAGGGCAAAAGTTATCTTTCACATCATGTCAGATAAAATAAGTTAACTCATTTTATTGTGGAACACAGGTCTCCAATGTAACTACACTCTGAAGAAACAGTACTTTTCTTGTGGTAGCAAAAAATGAGAGGGGCAAATGGAGGTCCGTTTAGCTAAGGAGACAAATGCACATTTTCAATATAAAAATGATTGATTGCAAAACACTGATTTTGTATTAACTATGGCGAGGCATGACTAGCTATCACATCAGACTTAATACCATGTTAACTCAAACAGGGAAACTAACATGTTGGTTAACACAGTGTACTTTTCCATTACAGAGAAACCTGCGGTATGGGATCTAGGAGCTACCTAGGTTAACCAAGTTGGGATTTGAAACTCATCTTGGAAACTTAGATGTAAAAGGCCATTTCCATATCTAGTAGGACTAATTCTCCCTCTAAATCTGACAGGAGTCATCTGCTGTGGATTACTCTGGTTCAGTGGAGCCAAGAAATATAGTTGCCCTTCCTTGGGGGCTGTTTTGCTCCTTGGGCTAAATGATAGTTGTTTTGCACACTTATTGACCAAAACATATCTGTAGCAATTACTGTATTTTATCACTTCTATAATTTCCAAAAGCATATGCCCTATGAATACATTTCACCCTATTTATGGTGCCACTGAATTTGGACCAATGTTAATTTATCATTTGCAAAAGTACTGTGTCTAGAGACACACATTTTACTTTCAGGAGTAAAATAATGGCATTGACTTATCAGTGTTTTCCAGTGTCATTGTCATTTTGTGGGGAATAGTACTCTTGGAAAAATAGTAACCAAAATGTCATTGCCTTTTTCTTCCAATGTAGGTAAAAGAGGGGAAATAATGAGTTGGCTTATTCATGGTTCTTTAGGTGAGGAACATTTCTTGACCTGAGTCAGACTAAATGAACCACCCTTTAGCTAGATGATGTAAACCATAGCATAATATGTCCAATATCTTTGCAGGCACATTCACTTTTGAAAGTGAGATGTATAAAGCAAGACAAGAAGATACATGATTAGCATCATTCCAGTAAATTGCAATGGTATGTGTAATATATGGGATAAGAAGGTTGAAAGTCACATGACACAGTGACATTAGGTGTGAACTGAAGCCGTTTTGATTCCAGTGATATTACGACAAAATGATCTTTCAGAAAAAAATAATATAGC